TCCAACATCAAAGGGTTCATCTTAGCATTCCCTACTTCCCACTTGCAACTTCCTTCTCCACTGATGAGAAATGCCAGTTCTTATTGTCTACCCTATATTTACTTATTTGTTCCAGTACACATAAGTAGTTTCAGAATTCCTAACCCACACCCCTATGAGAATCACATTTACTGACTAGATTATTATTGCATTTATATATAGTTCATTTTCTCTTCAGGCTGGACAGTATCCAGTCAAGATACCTAATTTTCAAATTACTTCTTTTCTTCCCCGGTGTGGTTATGTTACCCATTTATAATACAGTTAGGTTCATTTGTTTGTGTTTGTGTTCCATTTTTGTATCCCCCTCTTCCCACCACATTGCCTGGTTTTACTTGTGCACTTATTTTGGGGTATAGGAACAGTATATTAAACATTACTCTGGTTCCAAGAGTCAGAGCTATACAAATGATAAACTCAGAAAAGTGTCATTCCCTTCCTCAACCCTTTTACTACATTCCTCTGTTCCATATTTTTCACTCTTGACCTCATTAGTTCCTGGTTTTTATCATTCTTGTGTTTCTTTTGCACAAATGGATAGACATGTGTACTTTCTAATGTCCCCTTCTTTCTTGCATGCACAGAGGTGTACTATAGCTACTCTTTTCAGCTTTCTTTTTTCACTTAAAAAAGTATATCCTGAAACAAAAAAGTATATCCTGGATATCATTTCATATAAATAAATTTTTCTTTCTTTTTTTTTTAAACAGCTGCATAGTACTACTTCACAGTGTGAACGTATCCACCACATTTATTCACCCACTCTCCTATGCATGAACACCAAGTTGTTTCCACTGTTTTGCAATTACAAGAATGCTTTGGTGAGTAACCCTGTGCATAGGAATTTTCATACTGTCGAAGGCGTATCTTTAGGGTAGATTCTTACAAGTGAGATTGCTGGCGCAAAAGGTAAGTACATATGGAATTTTGTTAGATATTGTCAAATTTACCTCCACAAAGATAATATCAGTTTGCATCTCCCCAGCAATGTATGAAAGTGTTTCCCCACAGCCTTGCCAACAGAATATGTTCACATTTTTAAATTGTTGCCAGTCTTACAGGTAACAAATTATATCTCAGTGTTGTTTTAATTTGCATTCCTCTAATTATGAGTTATTCTGAACATTTTTTTCATAGGTTTGAAAGCCATTTTTATTTTTTTTTGATGAATTATTTGTCCATATATTTTTCCCATTTTGCTATAGTAGGGATATTAGTTCTTCTTTTTGTGGTATATGTTGTAAATGTTTTCTCCTAGGTTGTCCGTTATCTTTTGACTTTGTTTATGGTATCTTTTTGCCATGTAAAGTTCTTTCAAAATATAATCAATTTTTTCTTTTATTGCTTCTGGGTTTTGAGTCACAGTTAGACAGCCTTTCTTTGACACAAAAGTTAAAGAAAAATTAACCCATATTTTCTTCTAGTATTTCTACAGTTTTATTTTTTATATTTAGACTCCTAATCCAATTGAAGTTTATCCTTGTGTATAGTAAGAAATGTGGACCTAATTTTATATATTTCCAAATGTCTACCTAGTTATCCAGGCACCATTTATTAAAAAGTCCATCTTTACCCCAGTGGTTTGAGAAGCCACTTTTGTTATGTACTAAGTTTCCATTTGTATTTGGGTCTAATTCTAGACTTTCTTTCTTTCTTTTTTTTTTTTTTTTGAGACAAGAGTCTCACTGTGTTGCCCGGGCTAGAGTGCTGTGGCGTCAGCCTAGCTCACAGCAACCTATCCTACTGCCTCAGCCTCCTGAGTAGCTGGGACTACAGGCATGTGCCACCATGCCCAGCTAATTTTTTCTATATATATATATTTTTTCGTTGTCCAGATCATTTCTTTCTATTTTTTAGTAGAGACGGGGGTCTCACTCTTGCTCAGGCTGGTCTCGAACTCCTGATCTTGAGCGATCCATCCGCCTCGGCCTCCCAGAGTGCTAGGATTACAGGCGTGAGCCACCACGCCCGGCCTAATTCTAGACTTTCTATTCCACTTACCTGTTTGTCTATTCATGTGCCAGTGCCAGACTGTTTTAATTATTAAGGCTTTATGTATAAGAAATTTAACACAAGCATTTCTTCTATTTCTTGGAATTTCCCCCCAAAAAAGCTATAGGGTGGCTATAGACCATACCTGCACTTTACAGTGTTCCAGTTCTTCTTTCAGATGAGACTTTTCTTGTTCCCATTCCTTGCATGTACTATTTCCTGGCCCTTCTTCCTTCTGGTGTAGCATTTCTGTCAGATGTTGATTAAGTTCTTGCAATTCTTCCTGATTTTGAGAGTTCTTTTGGCTAAGTTCTGTATTTTCTAAATCCAACTGTTGGTTTTTGATTTTTAATTCCGAAATCTAATTAAAATTGAAATAAGTTTTAAAAACTTGTTACCCAACTTGTGATAAAAAACAGATTTAGAGATATAATTGTTTTTACCCTCTCTATATAGACAATAAATTTTAAAAATATATTTTCATAACAAATACTACATACTCATTATTACAAATTCAGGCAATTCAGAAGTGGATGAAGAAGTGAGACACTCAGTTTAATCCCACTCCACAGAGGGCCCACTGTCCACAGCTGGATATGTATCCCTCCAGGTCATTTTCTATGCATGCACGAAACCCATATACACAGAGCTTCTTTTTTTCTTTTTAGCAAAAAAATTGGATCATTTCATTTTTGAACAGCCTGCTTTTTTTCACTTAGAACATCTTACTCTTATCTTTCCAAGTCAGTGTGTTCTGAAACCACCATATGCTCTATTTTCTTAGTGGCTGTAGGATATTCCATAATCCATTTATCCATTCCCACATTGATAGACATATAGGTTAATTTTTTTAAATCATTTTATTTTTTAATTAGGAAGAAACAAAATGACCTTCTGGAAAATCCATTTACATATGGTAGCATTTTGTCTTTAGGATTTTTTTTTTTAGAAATAGGGTTGCTGGGTTAGAAGGTCTGTGCATACATTACCATTTTGATAGATATCCCCCAAATGTCTTCCTCACAGTGCTACCATCTTACAATCCTATCAATAATGTATGAGTACACTCATTTCCTCACACCCTTTTTAATACTTGATGATATCCATCTTTACTTTTTGCTAATTCAATAGGTTAAAAAAAAAGAAATTCATTTAATTTGTACTTCCCTAATCACTAATGAGGCTAACCATTTTGTATATGTTGTATTCTTTTTTTTTTTCCTGTGATTTGAACATTCATATCAATCGCCTGTTTTTCAACTGGGTTTTGCCATTTATTTCTAAGAGTCTGAAATATATTTTGGATGTTAACGCCTTGTCTATTCCAAGTACCAAAAATACTCCCTCTCAATAGTATGTCCTTGTCTTTGGATTGTTTCAGATAGATTCTTAAATGGCCTTCCTTTTTTACAACTGCATGTTATAAGACTATGCAAATTAAGCATTGAATGGTACAAGTTATCTGAATAAATCATACTTCTGTGAAATGATATGCTGATTAACTGACATTTTATATCTGTGAAATTCTGTCCTTAACTTTCTCCTTTCAATATGGTGAGGAAAACGGGAGGGCTAACATTAACTGAAACTATATAAGGGCTAGAGCTAGTATTTTATAGGTGTGGTTTTAGAGGTGATACCTCATTATCCCCACTGATTATTAAGCTCGTATGAAAAACTTAGGGTCTAAATGTTTATGGCAGCACCATTCACAATTGCAAAGATGTGGAAACAACTCAAGGGCCCATCAATACATGGGTGGGTTAATAAAATGTGGTATATGTATACCATGGAATACTACTCAACCATAAAAAAACAAAGGTGAACTAGCACCTCTTATATTATCCGGGGTGGAGCTAGAGCCCATCCTTTAAAGTGAAGTATCACAAGAATGGAAACACAAGCACCACATGTACTTGCCAACAAATTGGTACTAACTGATCAACACTTAGGTGCTCACATGGAAGTAACATTTGTCCGGTGCTGGGCGGGTGGGAACGGGGTGGTGGGAACGGATAAATTCACAACTAATGGGCAAGGAGCACACTGTAAGGGGTATGGGCACGCGTGTAGCTCTGGCTTGGGTGATGCAAAGGCATTATATGTAACCAAAATGCTTATACTCCTATAATATTCTGAAATTAAAAAGAAAATAAATAAATAAATTGGAAAAAAAAGGAAAGCCAGTCATTCTAACAACACTTATCGAATGACTCATCTTTCTGTAATGATTAAAATGTTCCTTCAGCATAAAAAAAATCCTAATTACTAAAGCTCTGGGGGGAGGGGCAGAACTTAGCGTCTAGAATAATACATTATTTCAAAAAAACAGGAACCTACTGGAGAGTCACAGTGAGGTGAGTTTCCATTTTCAAGCTGAGAATTTACAACCTTATCATAATTAGCTACATGTTATTCTAGTAGCATATGCTATAAATTTATAAATTTCAAATAAAAAAAAGAAAATTTCAGACTGAAGAAATACTGGGAAATATGAAGTATTTCCTTACCTGTTTCTTTAAATTTTCAACCATCTTCTCAACTGCAGCTTTTTCCTGTTTTATAGTTTCTATTTTTTGCCTAAAGAAATGGTGAAAATAAAATGGAAGAGTTAGGCTTTAAAAGTTGAAGTAAAATAGTTTTAGTCCTTGCAAAAATGGCTTAAGAAAATTTAAGTATATATCTTACCACATTTCTTCCTGAGATCCATTGAATTTCCCTAATTTCAGGTTAGAAATGCTATCTTCTTCATTTAAAGTAGTAATTTCATTTCTCAAAATAGAATTTTCCTCTTGAAGCTTTTCAGATTCATATCTGAAGCACAGAGATTTTAAAAAAAATAGTTACAACAAGGCAGTCATCTGGCATCTTTGGAAAATATTTTCTAGTAACTTCCAATAAGATGAGTATTCCATGCCAGTGAAAAAAAGAAGTCTAAATTAGTAGTCTCTTAGTACTTGGAAATCAAATTATGACATATTGACGAATTTCTTTTGGGAAGTAAGAATTTCACTAAAAGACGTTAGGGAAGTGTAGCTAAGAAACTTGAGCAGGGCCATAGGAGTCGAGACTCAACGCTCACTCTGGTTGTTGATTTCCCAATGGCAAGTACACTGCTTTGAGAAATGACTTCATTTATCTCAGTCTCCAGTCCTACCTGCTCTGAATGGACACAAGCCACATTACTAAGCTGTATTAGCTTTAGTTTTAGGCCCCTGAGTACCTGGAGAAAGAAAATTCACTACATAAATCAAAGGGCCACATTGAAATATGTACACTGATGTTTATTTTGTGATTTTATTCTTCTTATTATATCCCGATTTTTAGAACTAAAAACGGTCTGAAGAGAGGAGAGGAAAAACTACAGAATTAAATAATTTTGTTTCGTATTAAGATATTTCAGACATGATATAATATTTTACAAGTTTTTTTTTTAAAAAACCAAATTTGCTAGAAGACTATGCAATCGTATTTTATAAAGTCAAGTGAGCAGTGGTTCAAATTAGTTCCACTTTTGTCTTTATTCTCCAAGCATATTTATTAGAATCTGGTAACTCCTCAATAAACTTATATGTTCCAAGATAAATTTCCATTGTCTATAGGCTGTCAGCATGCACTTCAAGTGATGTAAGTGTGAAACTATAAGCCCCAAAACAACATTTTTTCTATATTAGTATAAGAAGCTATTTCTTATCTACCAAGTGAGTTAATAATATACAAAAGGCATTCATTCTCATACAACATGTTTCATCAAAATGAGAAAAGTAACATTTAGCAAAAAAAAAAAAAAAAAAAATCTATCCATCCAAATGAAATGCTAGAAAAAAGTTAAAGATGTACATCAGTGATGCAAATACTCGCCATTGTGAACTTTCACACCCCATATGAACAACATTTATTTGCTACAGAGGAAGGGAATGCTTCCTATGCAAGGTTATTTTATTTGTTAATATGACACAGAAGCAGAAGGAAATCTAGAGTACCGCTTTCTTCCGGAAGACTAATAGGTTAGTTTCTCTAGGCACAGCAAGCAGCGGAAGTTAGCTTTGGTGAGGTGCTCTGGGGGATTTGTGAAGTCTAGAAGGTACATACATTACCTCAGAAGTTCAACTTTTTGCTGCATCTCACTGCATGTGATTTGCAAGTCATGCATCATTGCCTTCAGCTCTTCTTCCTTCTCTCCTTGAGAAGGTATATCTTTTTGCTTAACTAAAGTAGTGACTCTCTCCCTCAACTTTCTAGTTAGCTCCTGTAGCTTTTTTTTCTCCAGTTCTAACTCTGCTATCGTGGCCTGACGCTGAAAGTGTTTCTCTTGAATGCCTAGGAGAGTAGTGTTTTCCTCCAGTATGACTTGATTCTGTACTCTTGGCTTTTCTTGATGTGTCTGAATTGTTCCATGTAACCAGGCAATTTCATGTGCTTTTCCATTTTCTAAGAGCCCTGTATTCTCCTGCTCAAGGTACTGCTTTTCTTGTTTACATTCTTCTATAATATGGTGTATACTCACAACTTTGGGCACACACTCTTTCAGTGTCTGATTGAGTTCAAGTATCTTTTCATGAGGTTCGACTTCCAGATTATCTAAACGAGCTTCCCACAAGGAGAAGCAGTCACATTTTTGGGCTGCTCTTTCCTGCAGCTTCTCAATCTTTCTCTGCAGTCTCAAAACTAGAACATTCAGCTCCTCATTTTCTGTTTTGACCTCATCGTAACTCTTTTCCAGGCTAAGGAACGTTTCTGTCACTTCTTCCACTTTCTTTAGCTCATCCTGCAGCCTGAAAACTTCTGCGGTGAGCTCTTTGTTATTTTCCAGCGCCTCATCGTAGCGTGTCTCCATCATCCTCAGCTCTTCCTGGAGGCAGTCGTTTTCTCTACTAGCATCTTCATATAACAACTTATACTTGGGAGAAGCCTCAGGGATTCTCTCAAGCATCTTTAGCTTCTTTTTTAGCACAGAAACGTCAAAAAGCAGATCCTGTTTCTTTTCAGAAGCTCGATCGCAGTCTTTGCGTAAGATCATTAGTTGCTCCTGGAGCTGACTAATCTGATTCTTCAGGTCCCAGCTTTCGGTCCTGGTCTCCTCACTATTTTCAAGCTCAGAAAAACTCTCTATCGAAGCCTCTGACTCCTCTATTTTGACCTCTTGTCTCTGAGCAGAGCTCGTCCCTGTACTTCTCAGGTCCTGGACCTCACTGTCTTGCAGGTCACTTAGGATGCGCCTTGTGGTTGCACCTTTTACTTGCTTCATTTGGTTTTGCAGTAACAACAGCTCTGTTTGTTCTGCAGAATTCCCAAAAAACTCAGTAGTTGGCTCATCTAAACAAGAAGAAATCACTGACCCTGGCTCTAATATTTGCAGCCTTTGTCGCAATCTAGAAATTTCTGTAGCCATTTTCACATTTTCCTTCACTGCTCGTTCATGAGCTCTCTGCAGGCTTAAGAGGACATCTCCATTTTCTTCCAATAGCTGCTCCCCTTGCTGAAGCAGGGACATGGCTCCATTTCCTTCCATGTCCTCCCCTCCCACTGCCTGGCAGCCACTCTGAAGTCTGGAGAGAGGAGATGCCACCTGATGCATTTCCTTGATTATATTCTGAAGCCTGGAGATTTCTGTGCTCATCTCAGCCCTCTCTCGATCTGCTTTCTCACAGGTCACTTTGTGGACGCTCTCCATGGCCAGAAGCTTGGACATCATTTCCTGCCTTTCCTGGACACGTTCCATTTCAAGCCTTTCAAGCTGCTGGCTGGCCAGCTGCTCTGAGGCCCCTGCCTGGCAGAGAACCTGCTCACGGTCCCTCAGTTCTCTTTCGTGACTGCTCTTCAGCTCAAGTATCTGGCCAGACAGTAGGCTTTGCTGGCTCTCAGACACATTTCTTAGATCTTCCAGGTCTTGGAGCAGCTGCTCTCTCTCGACGACCATGCTGTTCAAATGTTCTTTGTAAGTTTTCTCTAGCATCTCTCTTTCCTGGGTCAGGACCAGAGAAGTTGCTTTCTCTCTCTGAAGAGTCTCTTTAAGCTGCTCCTGGGCTTCTGCACACTCCTGGGTGAGCTCGTCCTTCTCAAACTCCCACTGGGATTTCTCCTCGTGTTGTTGTTCCATAAGGTCCTCCAGCTCTTGGCGGTAGCGCCCCTCCAGGCTTTGCAGAGCGCTTTCACATCTCTCAGTGACTTTCTGACAGTCAGCCTGAAACTGGGCTTCTATTTGAGAGGTTCTTCTATTACACTCTGTTTCCATTTTTTCCCTAAATGTAGTCAACATACAGCATTACTGAAACTGCCGCCAACTTTGTAAGCAAACAAAAAACATTTTTCTGTGCATAGAGGAGGCTGCTAAGCAAACAATTGAAATAGTTTCTCAAAATGGTTGTAACTTGTTCCTATGTGATTCATTTGTACTGGAAAGGAATCTCATTTCTGAGAGCTAAGACTAGCAGCCATAATTGATTTAAAGGATTTATCTTTCTCTATAGTCAGAGGGAAATTTTAGAATCCAAATTCTTTGGCATACTCCTGGATGTCTTTGTTTATGGATTTTAAACCAAAGACTTAAACTGGTATTTCACAATAAATGATCAAATGCATATTAACCTAACCTCTAACTTGGGGAATATATAACATTCCTTCATTTTACTTAAGCGTGCTTTATAGGATATTAGGTACATAAACCACACATATGGACAAATTCATTCTGCTCTTGCTAGTAATTTAATAAAGTAGCACCAAGTTGATCAGGGTGTGAAGTACCAAGGCCTTCAAATGCACCTGAGATTTCACATGAGGAAGGTAAGCACAAGGTGCTGTTTTATAACTCTGGGAGGAAATGTAACTTTGCTCAGAATCCAGCTTATAAATAGCTGTTCTCAGAAAGCAACAGGATTGAACTAGGAAGGAACCACATTTGGGATCATCTCATCCTGACCTGGAGCCTTATGAGATACAATCAATCTTAGTACAAAGAATATTTTCCTCTTTTAAAAACAAAAACAGTTTCAATAACCCTAAGGTAGGCTTATGTCAAAACAATGACAAAACTGGTCAAAAATTTTTAAAAGAATCTAATAAATCAATGGGCTACTATTCCATCTGATTTTTCCCAGTGTCCTTAACTGACCGAAACTTCTGATGCCCTGAGAGACAGTGCCCCAGGCTGTTCCATTTCCCCCAACTTTCTTACCTTCCCTCTTGAAGTTCCCTTTGGTGCTTTTCCAAGAGCTCTTTTCTCAACTCCTCTTTCTCAAGAGAGTGCTTCTCCACCAGGGCTGCCAGCTGCTCCTGGTGAAATCGCTCTAGTTCCTGAGTCAAGTCTCGCACCTTCTCATCTGTCCAGGTGCTACTTTGAAGGAGTCCCTCCCTCTCCCGCTCAAAGCCTTCCTCCGCCTGCGCCAGTCTAACCTTGAGCTCCTTCTCATGTTCTAGCCTCAGCTTCTCCTGCAGGTGAGTCTTGTCTTCCTCCAACTTCATCTGCAGCTGTTTTTTCTCCTCCTCGAGCCTGCAGGTGGTCTCGTGGTGTGTGTCCTGGAGCACTACTGCCTGCCCCTGCAGTTCTGCAATTTCATTTTTAAGGTCACGTATTTGTTTTTCCAAGGTGTGTATTTCATTCTCATGCCTTTGCTTCATGTGCTCCCGCTCCTTTTCACAGGTGACCACAGTTTCATCCAGCTGCTTTTCGTAATGGCGCACCTGAAGTCAGAGAGGGACCCACCACAAGGTCATTCAACTCAAGGCCATGGAAAGGGAAGTCACAGGGGCAGCAAGTACTTTTTCTTTCCTATAAGACATTCCTCGGTTTCCTCATTTTGTTTTAAAGCAACAATTCAAAAACACTTTAAGCAAGATATTTAAGGCAGGCATGTTTGCTTTTCTTTTTCAACTGGTTGAATTTTATTAGTTTCTGAAGAACTCCCCTAAGAACTGAGCAGACCCTCACACATCCTTTCTAACTGCAAACTTAGAGTCTTAAAATATTTAATTAAATTCAAATATTTGCTGAACACCTATCAGGTACTTGCAGGCCTCATGGGAACATAAAGCTAGGTGAGACATAGTCCCTGCCATCAAGTAGAAACCAGGTCAGATGCAGATATGACGACTCCAGGTATACTACAAGGCACAACATACAAGAGAAAAGGTACAGAAAAAGGAGCTACAATGTAACCCAGGGATTCAAAGGATGGAAAAATGACATTTGGTTGGGGAAATTCAGGAATGGCTTCATGCACCAGGTAGCAGCTGATATAAACTCTGAAGGGTAAGTAGACTTTCAAGAGGCAGAAAGAAATAATAATAGCATAGTCTGTAATAGTATGAGCAAAAGATGGACAACCAGGAACTACCCAGTGTGGCTAGAGGATATGATAACTCAAATCAGTGGGGAAAGAGAAGATTGGAAATGTAAATTGAAGCCCCATGGTGAAGGGTTTGGAGGCCAAGGTTCAGGACTTGTACTTAATTCACTAGGTAAATGTAAAAATCAAAGGGCTTTTTGGTTTTATTAAGATTTTTTTTTAAACAGTTGGAAATAATATAATGGACTTAAAGCTTTAAGTTCCATGCTTGCCAGGGCTGAAGGTAGTAAATTTTGGAGAAACTCTCAGGAGGAAAAGGCCTATAAAATTATCCTGAGGAAGTGGGTTCCTGGAAGCCACCAGACATGAGAGGAAATGCATAGAAAGTGCTGCTCTATGAGAAAAAGGAATTGGGAATGGCCTACATGCAAAAGGTTGTCAGAGCTCAAAGTAACTTGAGAACTGGATCGGTAGGAAGGACTTACTTTATCTTCCAGCTCCAGTCTGAGGCAACATAAGTCCCTGTGATGTTGTTCTTTCATCCGTTCGATGACGAGCTCTGCCTCGATGCTCATGTTCAATGGATTGCATTCTTCAGAACCAAGCCCTGAAACACACGGGACCCACTGACCTTGCAGCAGGTTCTCAGAATAACATAATCTGGCAACTGAGGAGATACATCCAGTTTAACTAAGGAATAATCTTTAGCCTGAATTGCTACAGCTGTGATCTACTAGGAACTAACAGAAGTCAAGAGAAGGAAATGGAGGTGAACAGATGCTTTCATGTACAGGCAGTATACCAAACCTCAACAGAATCCATCTGTTTGAACAGTAGGTGGGGGTAGGTGTGAAAATTGTTGCTTAAATGGGACCTCATCTTAATGAAAATGCTGCAAGTTGAGGTAATACCATGAGGTAGTTTGGTCAAACCAACCAGACTTCTAGCCATCCCAAAAATACAAATGACAAATTTGCAGAGGGGCAATGTGACAGGGGAATGGAATGGCCAGCACACTTGCCACTATGCCTTGAGGAGTTAATGTCATGGGTCAATATAACCAACCCATCATTAAACATTTCAGAAGACTGGCTACTGTCCTGTGAATTTCCTGGAGTGTGGGTGGATCCCCATCTTAAATTATCAGGTGAAATAAAAAAAGTAGGGCATAGGTTAGGAACCTGGATATAGGCAGTTTTTGTGTGTGTGGTGTGGGGGGGTGAAATTCTCAACTCATCCATGAGTTCAACTCTGCAACTGCCATGATGACGGAGGAGGACACTGAAATGTGAAGCATAGTTTGGGAGCTGAGCCAGTACATAGACAAAAAGATTATGTCTAATACTGTGCAGAAATCTCTCACGGCAGGGGGACCCAAAATAGTTTTTCATGTGTGGATACACAGGCAGATGGGACAAAGAGTATAGGGTATATACTTCTTGGGTATAGGTCTAGCAGCTGGGATAGACAGCTTGCTCTGGGCTTTCTCTTCATACATTATGGCATATTCCCAACCGAGAAGTAACATCCGGGGTGTAAGCCTTCCCACAGGAGTGCAGCTTCATGTACCCATGAGGAGCACCCTTAACACTTGGTCATCTATGTAAAAGCTCAGAAAAGCTGCTGAGATATATAGTTTCAGTCCTTAGACTAAAGTGAGCCAGGAATCAGAGGAGAGGTCTTGAGTCTTCTTCCTCTCCCCTCCCCCATCCCTTACTCATTCTACAGCAAGTAGGTGGGGATGGGGGAAGCAGGAAGGCAGAATAAGCCACCTTTGTAAGAACCGTACTCCCGTCCTAAGTAGCAGTAGGGAAAGCTATTTATAACAGAAGAATCGACTATCAGCCCTTTCTGAAATTCAAACTCAACAAACCCAAGAAAAGAGGCTGGCTATGAGAAGGGAGGGAAAGAGCAGACAGTGAATGTGGGAGGGTTCCCTAACAACTCTGCTGCCCAACTTTGCCACTCAAAATTTTCCTCAAAGGCACAGGCCACCAACCCTTATTTATCCTATTTGTTGTTTTGCAGAGGCAATGCAGACATTCGGCGCAGCCAGCACAAGCAAGCCAGTTATGGCTTCTGAGGTTGCTGGCCGGCCCATTCTCCAAAACCAACCTCATACCAGCGAGGCCCTCTCAGAAAGGGAGGACTCGGCAATAGCTCAGCGTCTGAATTCTAACACTCCAAAGGCCTGGATTCCCAGATTTGCGGCCAGATTTTTGTTTATTTTTTAAACAAAGCAAATACCCTTGTGGTTTGATTTTTCCATTCCTTTGTTGACACATATCAAAATCAGATGGAAATATTCTCATAAAGACCTCAAGGACAAATGAAAAACCAGGCCACAAATGAAACAACTCAAAAAAAAGAGTATCGCCAAAGTCTTTTTTTTTTTTTTTTAAGATTGCCAAATTTTTGCAAATTTATATTCAACAAAGGTTCTAAAAACAAAGGTGGAAGGCTTTAACTAAAGCCTTTTCAGATGGTATGTGAATGTGTTTACCCTGGTCAGCCTCAATGCCGCCGCTGTTAACATCAAGTTCTTCTGACAGCGAGTTCTTCAGAGGAAGCCTGAATACTTTGCCTTGTGCACGATATTCTTCCAGCTCAGACTGGAGTTCATCCACTTGGTCTTGTAATACCTGGAGTTTAAAAACCAACACAGGGTCTTAGATGTGACACCAAAAGCACGAGGAACGAAAACGACAAAATAAATTGGACATCATCAAAAAAAAAAAACAACAAAACTTTTGTTCTTCGAAGGACACCATCAAGAAAGCATAAAGACAACCCACAGAATGGAAGAAAAGTTTTGCAAATTATGTATCTGATGGACTTGTAACTAGGATATATAAGGACGATTACAATTCAATAATAAAAAGACAAAGAACTCAATTAAAAAATGGGCAAATGATGTGAGTAGATATTTCTATAAAGAAGATATACAAATGCACATAAAAAGATACTCAACATCATTAGCTATCAGGGACATGTAAATCGAAACCATGATGAGATACCACTTCGCAGCCACAAGCATGGCTAGAATCAAAAACATACAATAACGACTATTGGTGAAGATGTGGAGAAATTGGAACTCTCATACCAGTAGGAATGTATGTAAAATGGTATAAACCACTTTGGAAGAAGTTTGGCAGTTCCTCAAAAGATTACACATAGAGTTACTATACAACCCAGCAATTCTACTCCTAGGTATTTATCCAAGAGAAATGAAAACATATGTCCACATAAAAACTTGCACACGAGCCAGGCACAGTGGCTCATGCCTGTAATCCTAGCACTCTGGGAGGTTGAGGCGGGAAGATTGCTTGAGGCCAGGAATTTGAGACCAGCCTGAGCAAAAATGAGACCCCGTTTCTACCCAAAAATAGGAAATATTAGCCAGGTGTGGTGGTGGGCACTTGTAGTCCCAGCTACTCAGGAAGCTGAGGCAGGAGGATGGCTTGAGCCCAAGAGTTTGGGGTTGCTGTGAGCTATGATGACGCCACTGCACTCTAGCTGGGATGATAGAGTGAGACTTTGTCTCAAAAAAAAACAAAAAAAAACTTGCACACAAATTTTCATAGCAGCATTATTCATAATAACCTCCAACCCAAATGTCCATTAGCTGATGAATGGATAAAAAAAAGTGGCATATTATTCAGCCATAAAAAGGAATGAAGTACTGATTGATGCTACAGCATGGATGAATGAAAAAACCTTATGCTAAGTGAAGGAAGCCAGTCACAAAGGACCACCTATCATATAATTCCATTTACAAGAAATGTAAAGAATAGCCAAATCTGTAGAGACAGAAAGTAGATTAGTAGTTGCCTAGGGCTGAGGAGCATAGGAGAGATTATGGCTGAGTGGAACAAGGGTTTCTTTTTGGGGTGATGAAAATGTTCTAAAATCGATTGTGGTGACAGTTGCACAATTCTGTGACTATAATAAAAGGCTGAATTGTACACTTTAAATGGGTAGAATATATGGTATATACAGCTGTTAACAGAAGTGGATGGATTAGGGGGATTTTTGTAGGTAGGGTTGACAGATTTTACTGATGAAGTCACTAAATGTAAAGACATTTAAAGAAAACATCTTTACTTGATTAGAACCAAGAGCTAAAACTTAATTATAAAAGCAGTAGAAATGTTTTATTTTTTTCTCAAATGTGCACATGTATTTCCTGAGAAGGCAACTTCATGATTGTTTTCCTCATCTCTGCACAATTAAAATTTTTATCTTAAGCAGTTAGAACTCAGTTATACCTACCTTGTTAAAATAGATAAGTGTTTTTTGTTTAAGAAAAAAAAAAACCCAAATTCCTAAGCTTAGGGGAGTTCATTTTTTTTTAAATCAGATTCCTCTTATGATATTTATTTGAAAGTTTGTGTCTCTCCTGGTAAGAACTGGGAATGGTTTACTAGCTAAAGATCTGAGTGGTTCCTGCTTCATTTGCATTTTGTAAATAAACAGAATAAGAAATGTATTCAGAAAAAGGAAAAAACAGGACAAAACCAAATCACAGCAGATTAGGTCTGCAGTGATCAATCAGGAAAAGCTAATTTTGGAATAAGCCCATCAACATGACCACATATTCCTCCATTCGGAATAAAACCATACTTTCCTCTGAATGCCGGCAATTTCCGGCCGAGAGGAAGGAGAGTTAAATGCAGACTGCTCGATTCCCTGTAGTTCAGGATATTGAATAACAACATTAACAGCTAACATTTGTGTAAGTGCTGACTATACCCCTAGCTCTGTACACCTATATTCACTCACTGGATCTTCACAACCCTGTGTAGCAGGCACTCTTATTTTTGCCATTTTCTAGATGAGGAATTGATGCACCCCCAGATTAAGTGACTTGCTTATGGGTCACACGGCTCTGAATCCAGTGCTCCTGCACATACTCAGTTCTCTTCGTCCACTCACCCGGCACTGCTGCTCGTATTCATTTCTCATCTGTGTCAGCCTCTCTTCTTGCAGAAAGAATTCAGCACTGCTGGGGTCGAGGTCACCAAACTGGAAGGGGAAAAGGGCAAAGCTGTCATTTTTCCCGAGTGCCCTTCTTTGACCTAAAACATAGCAAAGGCCTCAGTTTCTGGTGTTTGCCCAGTCTCTGGAGAATGAAAGGAATGTGACATTTAAGCAGAAACACCACCAACTGGATGACAGGGAGAACATTCTGAAGTGATGTGCTCAACCAAGGCAGGGATCGTTTCTCAGTGCCACGCAATGTTTTCCATCATAACCAACCTACTAAATTATATCCCTGAAAACGTTGCCCAAACAGTTCCCCAGTAAAAATGTTCTTCGTGGCATTGTTTCTGCTCTTTAGTGTAAATTACATTTTGAGCTACCTATCAGGAAATCAGATTCAAACAGATTTACCTTTTCTGCTAACACATTTTCCAAATTTTTCTGCAGTTTGTTTGTCAGATTCTCATACTCTGCCAACTTCTCTGCATTTTCCAGAAGCTCATTTTCCAGACGACTGTTTTCCTGAAGAAATTTGGGGAAATTAAATGTAGCACAGGTTAAGAAATAAGCAAATTATACCATTTTATATATGGCATAAATCAGTGCTCTAGATTAAGAAAATTTGTCCATCTTGAAATCTGTTAATAGACTAGAGGAGAAAAAAGTTCTATCTTATAATAAAAACAAAGTTTGCCCTTTTTTTGATCCCGTAGAACTGTGCTGGCCAATATGGTGCCACTCGCAGCCACATGTGGATATTGAGCACGTGAAATATGCCTGGAACAACTGAAATGTGCTATAAGTGTAAAATACACACCAGATTTCAAATAGCACAAAATGTAAAATAGCTCGGTAATAATTTTTGTACACTGATTACATGTCAAAATGATAATGTCTTAGAGATATTGGATTAAATGATTTGAAATTAATTTCACTTGTTTCTTTTTACCTTTTAATGTGGCTATGTGCGAATTTGAAATTGCATATGTGGCTTGCATTATATATCTATTAGACAGCATTGCACAGAATATTTGATGACATGAAAATATTCTCAATATACAGTATTGTCAAATAAAACTGGTTACAAAATACCTTGTTCAGCTGCCTGCAAAAGAGAAGTCAAAGAGAGTACAAAAGGTAGAGTAACTGTGAAATCAATGTACTGATATTATAGTTTGGTTTAAATTTATAAATTTTAATTTATAAATTTATTTTGGTTTAAATATAAAAGATACACATGTAAGTTGCTCATAATTTGTATATGTTTAAGTTATTATAATGAAATAATCCATCAAATGAAACCCACAGAAGATTTTTTCCATTTAAATGGATCTGTATATGTAGTACTTTTTAGAAAGATTTCCACCACATTTGTTGAAACATACACAGACAAAGAGACATGCCATTTGACATATTTTCTTCTCCACCGTTAAAGGCTGATTGGAAGAACATTATTTTCAAAGTACACTTTGCCAAAAGAACATAGAGCCAGTATATTTTTAATATATTCTAGTTCACACTCCCAGACGACAACATAGAATATAAGAGAATATACATGAAGTATTTACAAAAGTACAACTTTCCCCTAAAATGCTAATTCTATAACGCTAACCTTTGAAAGTATACCTAAATTTAAATGCTAAAACAATATGGAGTGATCTCTGTGTATCAGGCACTGTGCTGGTTGCTTTGGAAACTGACAAATCGGATACTGTTACTGACCTCGGGGAGGGGGACAGATGTGGATACAACTGTCTATGACCCAACAGGAAATGCGCCATCCTCTGGCAAGAAAAAGTAAATGTAATGGGAATGAAAAGTAATTTGGCCTGCCGTGCTGGGGAAAGCAGTGAAGGAGCATGAAAGTGCTCTGCCCCCCACCCCACCACCCAGGAACTGAGAGAAGTGATGGGGGTGGTCACGGGACAGCAAACACTGGGTGTTGCTGCAGGAGCTGAGGTTTGAAAGCTATGGGGACAAACCCCCTTTTAAGGGCCTTGACTAACAACACACCGGGGCTTATTTTTTTATTTTTTTGCAAAGAGTAACAGCTTGATTGTAACTGGTCTTTAGTACAGTAACTCTGATAGCCATACTGGGGCAGGAGAGAGGGAGGAAAGGACTGTTCAGGATGCACATTAACCAGCTGAGAAATCCTGATGAATTCTGAACCTAATCAGAGGCTAGGGAGATGGAGAGGAAGGGGATAAATCTGAGAGGTGTCTTGGAGCATCAGTGCCACTTACAGACTGACGAGCGATGACAACTGAGGATTTCAGCTTCTGGGACTTATAGCATATGGTGATGATGCTGATTAGGGAGAACGTTCCGGAGATGAAGCAGTTGGATGGTTAGGGGGTGATAATTAGTTAGTTTTTGATATGTGGCGGCATTTCAGGAACCTTTCATAATAGCAACAGTAGCAAACATTTTATATGTACTCGTTACTTTCCAGACACCATGTATGCATGCGTCGTGGCATTTAGTCCCCACATCGACACTATAGGGTAGGTATTATTATGGTGCCCATTTTGAGCATTAGGAAACAAGCTAAGTAACATGCTCGAGGTTTCCCAGGAGGTGGAGGTACCCAGATCTGAACCAGGCAGCCTGACTCCAGAGGCCCTGCACCACACTGTACGGTGTCAGAGTCCAGTAAAGAGAAGGGCTGCTTCCTCCATGGAGGCACAAGAAAAAAGAAGGATATAAGACAGAAAAAGCACATTTGGAGGCCACGAGAAACACACAGGCCTCTGTATGGCAAGAGGCAAGGCCGTGTGCTGGGAATGATGCGGGGGGGCAGGCAAGGAGAAGATTTCAAGGTGAGGGGCAGGTCTGGAAGAGCAGCTGAGAACTAGGGTGTTAGCCAGGTGCCAAACAGCCCTGAGGACCCGATGTGTCTGCAGGGGATAAGAAGAACAAGATACTCATCAAAACTGTTGGCTCACAGAAGCCTGGATCCCCCTGAAATCCAGATACTAGTGGGGCCCTGTCATGTCTGGGTCATGACCCAGCTGGGCAAACTTACAGGAATTCTTGGACTGAGCCCCGTGCAGACTTGCCCTCTTACAAAGCTGTAGTTTTCCACATGGTGTTGCCAGCAGGGACATAGACCACAGAACTAACAAGATGATTACCTTTAAAGAGAGGGCAAGGCGGTCCCGGATGTAGTTCTCTTCTGTTTTTGCCTTTTCAATTTCCTGCTCAAGTTCTAACCGCTGCTTGCCCATCTGTTGCATGATCTGCTCTCTCTCTTTTCGCAGTTCATTCTTCAAGGCTGCTATTCGCTCCTTGTACTCTTCGTCCAGTTTCCTGTGAGGAAGAAAAACCAAGAAACTGCCACCAAGTCCCTCAGAGATCCCTGTATTGATCCACCAGAAACGGACACGCAGAGTCACAGAGATGGTAACCACCCTGAGACAATATCTGGTGTGTCCTGCTTTCCCTTAGGGCGTGGCCACACCTACGTCAATCCAACCAGGTGTGGCCACAGGCAGACAGGCAGACTCCCCCATGCTCTGTTCTGGCCCTGCCGCTGCAGGTGCCACTGCCCTGGGCCAGGGTGGTGGGAGAGGTCGCACCTGAGGTTGTACTCATTCCGCCGCTCTATGGCCGCATGGTGATCGTCCACCTCTGAGGCCATTAAGGACTTGAGCTTCTCAGCCTTGTCCAGATCTGACCGTAGCTTCTCTTTTTCTCTGACCACTTGATCAACTCGTTCCCTAGAATCAGAAATAATCTGAGTCAATGGGAAACTCTTTCTAAGCAATAAGTAGACCCAAGAAAGCTCTCATTTGGCTTGCTTCAACAAAAAACAAAACCAAGACAACCCAAACCCTCCCAAAACATAAAGGCATTCCACAGTTCCCTTCAAAAGCCTACATGCCAATCCAAGTTCTACTTCATTTTCCAACAATTTAAGGAAAATTTTGCAGTAGTTAGATGATGGAAGAATAGCCACATTTGAATACAGAATGTTTCTCAAAGGCCTTGGAATGACTTGTTGGACAAGGAGGAAACAGGATGGAGCAGGCGAACCTTCTGCTCAACTCACAGCAAATGCCGGATCTCAGCCTTAAAGCTGGCCAGAGCCGCCTGGTGGATGCCATTCTTGGTGACCAAAAGTTCATTTTCAAGAGCCAGCGTCAGTTCTGTCAAGTTGATGTTTCCGTCAAGGCTGAAATCCAAGGCCTAGAAATCAGAACAAGGCAAAGTTCAAGCCAAATCACTAGTTCTAGCGTCTGAAAGCAGAAAATATGAAGTCTATACAAACTCAGAGAATTGAAGATAGTCTAGAAATTGGACGAACACATTTATTTAGTGTCTGCTTAGGAAAAATCTCCAATCTAGAACAGCAAAGTTCTCTCTAAGGAAAGTATAACATGGTTATTTGCATTTTTTTAAAAAAAAAAATACTATCCAGTACTATAAATTAACACAATGGTATAGCTCCAATTTTCACCAACCAAAGAACATTTCTCATGTCAATAATTTGAGGGTTAAAAACATGGAAAGTATTTAGCAAAAGGCTCTTGGTTAAAGGGGGTAAGTAAAGGTACCTCATATTTCTGAGATCTTGTGAACAGACGAAATCATTAAGGAGAAATCAAATCAAATGACAGTGTTTAAAAAAAAATGGAAAATTTTCAACCCTTCCATGGTTTGGCATTTTTTCTCACATTTTGTTATAGCTCCCTCACCTTCAGGATCTCCTGGCTGTTCTCGATGCCCTCTTCCTGCCAGGTGTCAAGTATTCTCTCCACAGACGCATGGCCCATCCCATCGTCCAGGCAGGAGAAGACCCGAAAGCCGGTGGTACTCGTCATTGCCAATGGGGTGGTGGTGCGTCGTCCACTCTCATCGAAAGACTGGAAGAAGAAGGAGACTTGAGCAAGCTTAGCTTGACTCCAGGCATTTCAACAAGATGTTGGTCAAGACGGAAGCTGGTTAGTCCTGACCACGATGGGCAGAAGACATGTTTCTCTAATTTACACAGCTAGGGAAAAAAAAAGTCATGTGGCCTCTTTGATCTCTGTTCCCAAGTGAGTCAAGCCTACAAAGCTTATCAAAAACAATTGTTCCGGCAGAGAGCTCTTTACCATAGGCGAGATGTGTCTCTACTTAAAACCAGGTTTCTTTTGACCCAGAGCTGACATTAAGAGGCATAATTAGTGGCCTTCCCACTCTGTAATTTATGGTCACTTCTCAAACCCAACCTTTCCTTTCTAATGGTTTAGTCATTCTTATTCTTCCGTTGCTTCGCTCTCGCTCTCCTTAGTATTTAGCTTCAGACATCAGATCAATTCATTAGAAATTATTCAAATGAGTTCTAACATTTACTCACAAAGGAAGCATTTCCTGTTTGTTTCTCACCTGCATGGAGAGGTGTCTCTTCAGTTGTCTGTACGGAGTAGATGCTGATGGTGTAAGGGATTTTCCATTTTTAAACAAACCATAGAAAAAATCTTCTACACTCATTGTACCATCGGGATCAAGATTATGGAATACTTCTTCAAGCATCTAGAACACAGTAACCACATATTTTAAATACTTCACTCAAAATAACGCAAGGCCCAAAGTATATCTCCGGTCAATAGAAATCAGCACCACTGTTGATCCCAGGATTCCAGAAATAGAACTATGTCCCTTTATTTGCATTTCACTGAATTTATTTCCCTTTCCAGTAATGATATGTGCTCCCCCTTCATAAGAATAAAGTCCATTTTCAACATCTTCATAATCCTATGCAATTTAGCAATTCACTGTTTTCTCTTTTACTCATGCTGCTACAACAGACAATCTTTAATATTGCTACACATTATTCTTACAAATAAAAAATTGGCCAGGTGCAGTGGCTCACGTCTGTAATCCTAGCATTCTGGGAGGCAGAGGCAGGAGGATCGCTTAAAGCTAGAAGTTTAAGACCAGCCTGAGCAACACAGTAAGACCCTGTCTCTACAAAAAATAGAAAACTTGGCGGGGCGTGGTGGTGCATGCTTGTAGTCCCAGCTACTGGGGAGGCTGAGGCAGGAGGATTGCTTAAGCCCAGGAATTTGAAGTCACAATGAGCTATGATGACGCCACTGCGTTCTAGCCCAGGCAACAGAGAGAGACCCTATCTGGAAAAGAAAAAATTGCTTAAAAAAAAAATAGCTTCCTAGTATCATAACAATAGAAATTAGTTGGATGTTCATAATACCTCTATACAGTGGTGACTCTAAGTGATATTTTGCTTACATTGAATTACTGGAATTGGTATGGTAGCACAGCAGAATTTGGTCCGGGACAGACTGTAATGATCTAAGAGTTTGGGTCTGAAACTCATAACTTGGGGTTTAGAACCTTACTTAGAACAACACTGCATCTATTGGGTTCTTGTTTTAATGCTTTAGCACAAGAGAAACGAAAATTGGTTGAGAAGGATTTTATGAGTGTGTAACAGAAGAATTCTGAGAGATGTAAAGATGAGGGAGTTCTGGCTGGCTATTTGCACCCCCTGACAATAATCAAGTGGGCCCCAACATATAACAGGGGAAGAGGAGACTGGGCTACTGCCCCAGCTAGAGGCTTGCCTGGAAATGGGTTGTTCCCTAGCTCCAGAGAGGCGTGGGCAGGGGAATGGTGCAATGGGAATCACACAACAGGAAGGAAAGACAAACACCTTTCACTGGCAGTTGGATTCCTCTTTATTGGGGAGGATAAATTTTTCCTATAGAAACATGCCTCCAATGTACAAAAAACAAATCACCTGGATATCTTGTTAGAATGCAGACCTGCACATAGTAGGTCTGGCAGTGGGGCCTTGAGACTCTGCATTTCTAACAATCTCCTGGGTGACACCCATGTCACTGAGTAGCAAGGAGACAGAATAAGCAACAAATTTACTCTTGTAGCATTAGAGCCTATGATTGGGTCCATTCTAACAGAGGCCTCAATTCTCTTAACACATTCTCAAATTTTTAATATTTATTCCACAAATCTGGACTAGGATTGCTGGGATTTATGTCATCTCATAATTGTTGACTTTATTCATGTAAGTGCTTGAGGCATTTGTTTCATCTCAAATGCTTTTTTCCAATTACACCCAATAGTAAAGGTCTGTTTCCACTCTTGCTTTTATCCTACTTCCTCTAGAGAGAACTCTGAAACAAGAAAACCATTCCAAAGAGTAGAAATCTTTGGAAGAAGCAATAGTTCCTAATAGAGAATGTTGTAGTCAAATCAACAGACAGGTATTTGGGGCAAGATTCTGAGGTTGCCAAGATCCCTTTGCTTTTTGTTTCTTGTTCTTATCAACCAAAACAACACTCGCCTAGAGGACAAGGCTTTCAGGACCATCAAACCAGAAGTTATGGTAAAATCCAGGTGTGTCGATTGAAGTTAACAAGGTAACAGTTTGGCTCTAACATTAGATCCACACTGCCTGACCTTATGACCTTGGGCAAATCAGTGCACAGCTTCCGGATGGCCTAAACACCCATCACCTGCCCATTCAAGGTGGTGGAGCAGGTGGGCCCTGCCAGTTTTTTTAGATGGGGGAGTGGGCAAGCGGTGAATAAAAGGGTACAGATTCAGAACAGGGTGGAGGGGCAGGGTGAGGCAGAAAAGAATGCAGGCAAAATGGGCAACCAGAAGACCCCTACCCTCTGAGCAGGAGCTGCCTCTAGAACAGGGAGGGCATTCTCACTCCCCGTGACACATGGGCCATGTCTATGGTTGGCTGGTTTTCTGATGTGTAAGGTGGGAGAAAATGCACTAGAATAGGGATCACAAACCCAAATACCCAGAGAGGCCGGAAGGTGATGTAAATGAATGAGGCAGGATGGTTTTAAGACAGTAGAAAGTAGTGATTGTTGGCAAATTGAACATAGGCCTGCCTGCCCTCTCCGATGGAGCTAGCTGTGTCTCACTTCCTGTAAAATGGAGCCAAATCTTGGATATTTAAAAAAAAAAAACTTCTGATTTTAAAAGTGTAGCAGTAAGTTCAATTTTTAAAACATTAGGTAAGCCAAATAAAATAGGCTTTGGGCCAGATTTGGCATCAAGGAGGCTAGTTCACCATCCCTGACCTGTTGTCATCCTTGTTTCTGGGAAGCAGAGTTCCAGTTATAGGCAAAAGATAGTAAATCTATTTCCCCTTCATGAAAACATGCAGCAGCTGTGATCTCACTTTCTTTATCTATAAAATGAGGGGATGACTAAATCTAAAATTGCTTTTGGTTGTAAAATTTTAGGATTCCGAGTTTATGTTAATGAGATCATCTCGAACTTCTAGCTCCTCTGTGGTTTAAAGCTGGTAATAGTAAGTACTACAGTATTTCATGATTGTTCTTTAGGAGGAAAAACACTCAGTGGAGGCTATATTCAATAAACAATCCTTTATTCATCCTCAGGCCAGAGAAAAATAACTAAATGCATTACTTCTTTTCCTGGGTTTTGGAAACTCCACCAGAGAAGAAAACGCAGCTCCCCACAAATGGCTGTAGTTTAACAGCTTATTCCAAGAATTGGCTTTAGATAAATAATCCAAGTTTGTGCAATATTTCTTGGCAAAAACAACCTGAGGTTCTGCATATTGCACTAGTTTATAATTTAGGAGGATGAATTTAATTTTATGACTCAACAGCCACCACTGAAAAGTTAGTTACCCCTGAGCCATTAAAAAGGTAGTTAAAGGGTGTGTAATGGTCACATATACGAGAGAGAAGAACGCGGGGGGAATCTTTTCTGTAAGCAAGGCTACTTGGAAGCTTTTGATGATAAAACTCTTTCTTGTTTAGGAAAATAACACCACTTATCCCCCGAGCAAGCAGACAGAACAGTTTCAAATATCATTATAATCAAAGATTCCCAAAGCTACAACTATAGCCCTAACCTCTCTCCAATTCTCATTTTCAGCTCTTTGAAAGACGTATCTTGGAATTATTTATATTCTCACATTTCACAGCTATTCTGGTGGTGGGCCCTGCCAGTTCCCCTCCTAATGTTTCAGAAGTTCTGAAGGTCAGAGTTTTACCAAGGAAGAGTCTTTTGGCGGCTCCTTCAAAACTCTTCTTTGTACTTTCAAAACCACCAAACCACCCTTTTCCATTTCCTCATGACCAGAATATCGTAATGGCTCCTGGCTGCTCTGTCCAGCCCAAGCCTCTCTTCATGCCAGCACGTAAAAGCAGCTCAGACCACCCTCAGCAAGTAAGTTTCTCCTACACATTGCTCAATCTGCTTATGAACCCAGGGACGATATTAAGATCTTCTTTCCAGAAACTAAACTTATCAGACTGACCTTCAAAATCTCACCGAACTCAAATCTACTGAACTCCTTCCTCAATTCTTCCTCCATACTTTTCCCACGTTTTATTCTGTGAGTGACACCTCTACAAATATATCTGATATCACAGCTACGCTGAGCTAATGTCTGACAGTTTCACATGGGGCAACATGCCGACTGCACTGAGGGGCATATAGTATGGGCTCAGTAAGTGTCAGTAATTCTTTTCCATGGCACAGCAAGAGCTCCTCAATGACAGAATCTTCATGAATGATTTCCCAGGGGGAAAAAATGACGTTCAACAAGCTACAGGAAGCCATGATATGGTTGTTCCTAGTCTGTGGCCGGGGAAGCTTTTATCATCATCATTATTCCTAAATAAAATATACTGCCAGACTTACCTCTCCATCAATATTCTGCAAACCATACTGCTCACAGATGGAGACCAGCTTCTTTCGGTTCAGGTGACCATCACGGGTGATCCCCAAATCTTCACAGACTTCTTGCAGTTTCTCTTCTATCCAGTCTTGGGGAGGGACAGACCCACTCTGCGAGGCATTCAAATCATCCGGGTTCCAAAACCTTAACTGGCCTGAGATCAAAGCATAGATCGTGTTGTCTCCAAAACAATTGCAAAGAGAGAATGCCTATTCTCAAAGAAAAATGTGCTTTTTGAAAATAAATATTATAAGAAACAGACAATAAGTGTTCATTCCACTTTGATTTGGCCCTGAAGCGCCAATGAAGTGGAACCACTGGTCCTTAGGCTGCAACTAGAGCAAAAAGGCACCCTGTGGCTCTCTGGCAGTCATACCTAGGGGAGAAATGTTATCTCCTGTGTAATACTGCAAAGTTCTAGGCTTTTTTTATTCTGACTGAGAACATCACAAGCTTAGGCTGTAGTGTGGTCATAAGAGAAGGCTGGCTGAGAGCTATTCCAGAGAGCTCTGTGAACTCTGCCTCAACTGTAGCTGCCAGACTGAATTCTCTCCACTTTCTTTCTAGTCTAAATACTAGAGCGTCTTTTACTGAGAAGGAAATAATTTCATGATAAAAGTCTCAAGATTAGCCTGTTCCCAAGTCTTTACATATGGATATTCTGACATACAGAAACCAAACAGCCCAACTTGAAAGAATGGTTGCCAACTACAAGTTCCCAATTATATATTAAAGATAAATTCTATTTGAAGACTTAAAGATCAAACTACTTATTTAAAAATCAAAACTGCTTATTTATCCTCTATTAAAATTCCCATCTTCTAAATGTTCTACTTACATATTAGAGATTCTGTAAAGTCATCACTTAAGCATGAAATAATTACTGGCACAATTTTGTGTGTCTGGAAGAACCTTGGAGGGTTGAAAGGAGTTTCAGTGCTACTCGTATTATTTACTGACAGAAATCAAGCCCATTACTGTTGTGTCTTTCAGGTTGGAGATCTAAGAACGCATTGTGTTGTAATTACGCCTAAGTATGGTTGATCCAGAGCAGGCTGTGAATGGGACTGAGGTTCTGTCAGCTAATCCACAGCGCCATCTGGTGGCCAGAGCATCAACATGTTCGGAGGCTTCTTAAATACGTTTGAAACTTATCAAGGGATGCATTTTATTAATAATAGGTCGCTATTTAGTTTAGGACTGTTTGCAAATAAATTTGAAAGTCTGCATAAGAGAATAATTAGCCCATAAGTGGAATTATACATCTTAATTGTCATTTCCTGCATGATGTTAAATCCTAGGACTTTAAAACTAAGAGCTATCAACTGGGAATGAATTTTTTGTTGCCATTGTTCTCAACGTTAGTTCCCAGCTGGCCTCCAGCATCAGAAATGCAGGCAGCTGGGGTGTGAAGAGTGGCCTCTGAATGCATCCCTTCCCTTCCTGGCAGGTCCTGACACACTCAGCTCTTACCTTCCGCTTCATACTCCTCACTGTGTTGCGTCTTCCAGTGCTAGAGAAGGCAAGAGAAGATTAGTGTGCTTTAGAACTTATTCATAAAGATCTATTCTAGCTTTTCCTAGACCAGATCACTCTGTGCCTCGGAAATCATCATTTGACAGAGTCATAAGATTTCAGGACCCTCCAGTGTTTATTCAAATGGTTTCTCTTCAGTTAACCACCAATCAAGAGAAGACTCCTAAGAAATACCACACAACCTTCCACAGTACTTCACCAAGGAATTGTCTTTCTCATTTGCAAAGTCACATATTCAACAGCAAAACCTATCACAACCAATTAAACCAAGCCAAAGCAAATATTCAGAATCCATCAACCAACAAGGATTATGCATGCATTTATGAATTTGTTCTTTAATAAATGTGTATTGAGTGCTCACTTTTGCGCTGGGTACTGTACATGTTTCCAGATTCAAGAAGTTTATACACTAATGAAGACACCGCAGTCAAATAATCAGGAAGCACAAGAGGGCAGTGTTTTAAGTGCTATGATGAGGAAGTTCAGGATGGTATGTGGGTACCTAAATGGGACACTTCAGACATGGTAGATCAGGGTAGACTTCCTGGAAGAAGCAACGTCTAAACTGAAGGATAAATTGCAGAGAGCCAAGTGAAAAAAAGAAAGCAGTTATAATTTGCTGAAGCAAGGAGGCAAGAATGATCCTGGTATGTTTGCGGCACACTGAGGAGAGGTGCAACCCAAAATGAGTGGGCTAGAAGCGTGAGTTAAATGAAACATACCTTACCAGCAAATTACATTAAAAGTAGTGAAATTTATCTGAAATGGAACATTTTGTCCCCTTATCATGCTACATTACTACTGGGTCTTCTCCAAGGCCACAACATACACTTGTGGGCAAAGCTGCCCAGCCAAGGGCACAAGTCATAACCCAAATCCAGCCCTTGGCTCCACTGGCCAAGCATGGTACAAGTTAGCTTCCTGCCAGTTGCAGCGAGTAGGTCCACAGTGGCTTTGGCCTCTCCAGTGAGCTGTCTAATCACTGCTGTTGGGAGGTCCTACAACCACTGAAGGAAACCACATTGAGAAAAGGTGAATCCCCCTTTCAAAACAGGGCTGCTGTCTTAGCAAAGATCCAATTTTATGAATGAAGCTGCCTTTGATAAATAATCAGCCCATTCTCTGAGATGCCTGAACTGTACAAGACTAGTTAATATCTAGTTATATAAACTGAGGTCTTCTTTTAGGCAACCTAAGCTCATCTACTTTATTCTCCACACTCACTTGTGGTAGTTCTCTCCTCTTAAACGAGGGACAACCATCTACCACAATTTCACAGCTCCACATTTTACTTAGAAAGATATTGAAGATAGCACCATTCAGAGTTCACCTAATTTGGCCACACTAAACTGAAACCCCAAACTGACAATGCTGAAGTGGATTATTCTGGGCATACGGAAGACACCAAAAGGCCATAACTTAAAATATGTAAGTTCACTACAACTCATTCGGATTACAACTGAAAGTCACTAATAAACATGGTATCAGTGAAAACTGAATTAGGACACTGCGATCTTTGCTTATTTGTTTCTGATAATTTTATCAGATCACTCAGCCCATGTTCCTGGGCTGAGTATGATATGTTAAGACATATCTTGAAACTGGTAGATGTATGAGGCATGGTGGATCACAAAGAAAGTGGTGGAGTACACAAGCCCTCCATAAATTTTGTTACATTATCATTTCTGGTCAGAATTTCACTGGTTTTATATAAGAAAGTTTAAATCAATAAAGCTTCACTAATAAATACATCTTGTCTGACTGCCCCTCTACATTTATTTCTCTATCAAAGCAGATGATTTAAATGCTCATGCTACTTTGGCACCCAAAACTGTGAAAATTCATTATTTAGCATATAAGTTGGAAACATCCTAGAATTAAATCTATTAAGTCCACCTACAACACATAAAATAGGGTTTTATGGTTTAAAAACCATTGGTCAAAATAAATCCTACCAAATCACAAGCAAGGAATGATTTTTAATAGCAGAAACTGATGGGAGAAATGGCAGGAGAATGTTATCACTGGACCCAAACCATGAAGACAGCCCAGCTGGGTATACAGTTGTAAACATGCAACATAAACACACACCTTCAAAAAAATCCTTGATAATTCGTAAAGCAACAAGGTGTATATATTGTTACATAAAAGTTTCTTACATTTGCTCATTTACTTCTAAATTCGTTTTAAAATCCTGAGCAATGGTTCAGAGAACCAAGATACACCGATACACTGTTTCCAACCTCTCATAGTCTATGGGACTAGGTGCATGTTGCGATTCATTCCCTTGCTGTCTTCTTTCCCGGATTTTTACACCTAATAAACAAGAGACAGAGGCTCCCGCACAGACTCGGGAGCCAGAGTACCTGCGCTGAATCCTGCCTTCCCTACCAGGCTGGCCTTTGCCAAGTTTCTTGACCTTTTTTGCCTCAGGTTCTCCACCTGTAAAATGGAAATAAAGTTGTGCATATTTCATAGAGTTGTGATAAAGTGCTTAGAATTGTGCCTGGCACATCATAAATTTTATTAAATTTTGTTATTTTTATTGGACATGTGTTTATGTAATATATATTAAATTTATATTTGCACAGTTTTTTTTATTACCACGTTTAAACTTAAAGCGTTCATTTGCATAGGCCTGGGGAGGTATCCTTTATGCATATAAATTTGTAAGAAAAATGCCAAGTCTCCAGCACATAAGCAAAGAACACAGACAATTCACGTAAGAGGCAACACAATTAAACAAATATGGGGGAATGTTCCTCTCAACAGCAATCAAAGAAGTATAAAGTAAAACCAAAGAGTCATTTTGTTCCTATTAAATTAGCAAAGAATTTAAGATATGACTCTACTCTCATCAAGGTTATGATTTAAAATAGGCCTGTTTATATGTTACTGGTAACAATGTAAATGGATATCATTCTTTTAGTAAATGGCTTTATGTATCAAAAAAAATAAAAAATGTTCATATTCTTCGATCCAATAATTTCACTTGATATCCAAATGCAATAAAATCAAACAAAAACCATATGTATAAATATGTGTATTGTAGCACTTTTTGTAACAATAAAGTATTGAAAACAATTTAAATATTTGACAGTGGGGCATGAAGTATAATGAATGATATATCATATCATTAAAAGTATAATTAAAAGTCATTAAAAGTATAATGAAAAGTCATTAAAAGTATAATTAAAAAACCATGTAGGAACATGGAAAAACATCTCATGAAACATTAAATGAGAGACCACAACAAAAATGTTCCCTCTACTATGATTACCACTGGCAAAAATATTTACACAATTAGACATAGACTGGAAGGAAATAGAGATAATAAAAATAGATACATTTTGGTTGATGGACTATGAGAGACAATTTTATTTCCTTTACTGTTACACATGTTGTTTATGCAACACAAATAGGTACGATTTTCACTATTTCCTTTGCCCACCTGCCCTCAAATTCTCACTACATTAATTTCCTATGACTGGCGTGGGGATAAAGGTACCTTGGTAAGTACCTCTCTGCAATGTCAGCATCATCCTCCTGCACTGTGACAGCTGGGGACAGTTTGGTGGGAAGAGCTGGTGCTGCTCAGGTGAGCGAATGTTCCTGATGCCAATGCCTCCCGAGCTTGGCAGAGTGTGGCAAGATCAGAGACACGTGTCTGGGACCTGCCTTCTTGAGACAGTCCAACCCAACGGAGTCAGGCAGAGCACAGCCTCCTAAACCCCAGGCAGCACCTATACCCGCACCTTAAGTGATGTCACACAAATCCTTAAGGCAAGTCGGGGTGGCAGGGAAGGGATAACTTAGACATGTTTCAAAATGTCCTGTAGTACTGGTTTCCCAAGCATTCCTCCCACGACCATTTGTAAGAAACAAAGACCCAGCTGGGACCGCCCTGCTGAAAGGAGACGTGAGCTTATGCTAATGGCTACATTTTCAGTCCAAGGCTACCTCCATTGGAGATGGAGTTTACCACTGAGATAGGATATATGCTATGCTTCTTCCTCATCTCAACCAAGGGTCTGTTCCGTTAGTAAGAGGGAGGTAAGCACGTGAGGGCTGAACATTTGTTATTAAATTGCAATTTCGGGAGGTGGGTGGGGGAAGATTCAATTCATTCACAGCTCATTTATTTTCATTCTCACTGCCTGGAGCCAGCAGTTCCAATTAAAAGGCAGGGGAGAAGGAGGGGAAGGCAGGTTAGAAGGCTGGGGGGATTAGATCATTCAGCTACTGGAACACCACCATTGAAAGGAGGCATCTTTCCGGAAGAGGGTCCTGTCATTGCAGAGGCCTTACCCAGCACAGTGAAAGCCTGGCAGGTGGCCTCCAGAGCAGATCCGCCGTGAGCACTGGAAGGGACAGAATCACAAAAATGTTTGGGAAACTAGGGGAGCAAGGGAGGGACAACTGCTGGGATGTGTTCACAATACTAAATTCATGAGAAAGGATTTTTGATTTCTTCCCTTGAAATGTATGTAGCCTCTCACTGGAGAAAGAACGGATTACTAATACGTACAAAAACCATCCTGTGGAACTTCAGTTCCTCCCTACTCAGGAGGCACAGTTGTAGAGTGGGTAAGCACAGGGCTCGGCAGGCAGACTGTCTGGGTTAGGTCTGGCTCTACCATGTTGTGTGACCCCTCAGTGCCTCACTTTAATCTACAAAGTGGGGATGACACTCCTACCCACCTAATGGGACATGGAGGCACGTGCTTGGCTCTTAGGAAACGTTAGCTGTTGTTATTATTTCAGCCAGAACAGAGATGTGGTTAGGGGTCTGGACTCCACAGCCAGAGTCCCTGAGTTCAACTGCAGCTCCACCACTTACTGGCAGTGTGACCCTGGGCAGGTTACTTAACCTCTGTGTCCCTCGGTTTCCTCATGGGTAAGTGAACAACAATACCTACCTTCGAGGGTGTGACTCATATTTGGAAAGCACTTAGAATAGTGCCTGCTAAGTGCTAA